TCATAGCACCACTTACGGCTTTTTCTGCTTATGTGGTGCACAGGAATCAAACCCAGGGCCTCATGTATGCAAGGCAAGCTCTCTACCACTGAGCCACCTTCCCAGCTGGGACAATTATTCTTTAAAAAGTTTTCCTGAGTTTTATTTTCATTGAAGGCTAAATCTGATACTTCATATAAACCTTAAGTCACAGTAAAATAGATGTATATTTTAATATTAAGGCAGTTACAGATGACTTAGGCAGCATGAGTAACATACTCAATTTACACTAGGAGACCCACAGATCTGGGGAGGATAAATAATCTAGCTTAACAATAAACATGTTTACCTCAAAAAAATTTTTCATTGATATTCTCCAATTGCAAACTTTAACTTTGTAATAGATGGAAATTCTAACAGATGGGAAAAAAAAATTTCATTGATAATCTCCAATTACAAACTTTCTAATAAAGAAAGACGACAGGAAAAAATTTGTAATGCTTCTGGAGTCTAATGTGTAGATCTTGGGCTTTCTTCAACCCTGCCACCATAAAACCAAAAACAAAGTTTTAACTCAAGGCTTCTATATTGCTGGGCAGTAACTGCACCACTTAAACCATTATCTTAGCCCCTTTTGCTGATTATCTTCAAGATAGGTTCTCAGAGGCTTTTACCTACCAGGCTGCCTTGGACCACCATTTTCTTACACTTCTTCACTAACACACTCTGCCTTTTCTCCAGATAGGGTCTTGACAACTTTTCCCCTGCTGGCCTGAATTAAATCCTCCGCCTCCCAAAGTAACTAGGATGATATACAGAGCACTGCATCAAACTACTGGTTGAGGTGAAGTCTTTTTGCCTCAGGTAGACTAAAATAGAGACCCTTCTGATCACTACCCTCCCCAAGTAGCTAAGATTAATTTCAGGCATAGCCACCTGTATCAGGCAAGAATAGAATATTCCTTCCTTAAATGTTCACCATTACAGGATTTGGGGCATTATTCCTACAATTTTAACTCTAAAATTTTAATTGGGGTTTCCAAAGAATATTAACATTGAGACCTAATCTACTCTCAGTCTAAACCACTACGCATAGTAACTCAATTAATTAAAAAAACCAGTAAATTTGGCATGAGACTGCTCTAAAATCAATTGTTTTTACAAAGCAAACCATGTTTAAATTGCTCCAGAAGCATTAGTGTATAGATTATATAGTCTCAGCCCATTCTTTTTTTTTCTTTTTGGTCCAGTCGTGGGGCCTGAACTCTGGGCCTGGGCGCTGTCCCTCAGCTCTTCAGCTCAAGGCTAGTGCTCTATCACTTGAGCCACAGCACCACTTCCTACTTTTCTTTTTGCTTATGTGGTGCTGAGGAATCGAACCCAGGGCCTCAGGCACGCAAGGCAAGCGCTCTACCACTGAGCCACCTTCCCAGCCCCCTCAGCCCATTCTTTTAAAGTTAGACAGGAGATAACCTATAGCAAAACCTTCAGAAAAAATTTTTACTTGGGCTTATACATTAATCTTCACAGGAGATCTACTAATCCTGTGCATAGAGAAGCATTACTACAGTTCTATAGCTGCATGAGACTATTTTCCTTCCCACTCAATTCAATGAGTGGAAGGAGGGGGATAAAAACCTACTTTGTAAAATTGTCTGAAAGCTAATATTCTAATCTTCCATTGCTTTTGTTTTGGTTTGGTGATTGTCCTGGGGTTCGAATTTCAGGGCCTGAGCATTGTCTTTCAGCTTTTTTGTTCAAGCTAGCATTCTACCACTTGAGCCACAACTCCACTTCCAGCTTTTCTCCTGGTCAATTGGAGAGAAATCTCACAAACTTTCCTGCCCTCTCTGGCTTCGAACCACAACCCTCACATCTCAGCTAGGATTATAGGCATGAGCCACTGATGCCCAGCTGCTCTTTAAATTTTAACCCCACTGTCCCACATACATTGCTATATAGCACATATAACTCAATTTTAAAGTATTTACTCCAAAAGAACTGCAGTACTGCACAAAAATAGAATGGCTATCTCAAAGCAAAATGGGAAATTCCAATGAAATGAAGGGGTTTATAAACAAAATTAGGAATAAGATGAGTGGTGGTGGGTGACTGTACTTCTAGCATTTCAGGAAGCTGACACAGAAGAATCAGGTAAGAACCAGCCAACCAAAACAAACCCCTAGGGCTCATTTCAGGAAGCTGATACAGAAGAATCAGGTAAGAACCAGCCAACCAAAAAAATCCCCTAAGGCTCATGTCATAAACATTAAAGTTAGGTAGACACAATAAATCGGTTTTATTGAACACGTTAAGTCTCAAGCCTCATAACAAAACTGTGGAAATAGCTAGTAGAGTTCTAATAGGGATGCCTTTCTTGAAAAATAACTTACTTTCATATGTAAAAGGAAAAAAAAGTACAACTAAATTTGTTTTGAAATAACTAGGAAAAATGTGACCTTTTTTGGTGTCAGTCATGGGTCTTGAACACTGGACCAGAACACTGTCTCTGAGACTAGCACTCTATCACGTGAGTCACAGCTCTACTTCCGGTGTGTGTGTGCGTGTGTGTGGTGTGTGTGTTGCGTGTGTTGTGTCTCTAATACACACACGCATGCACACACACATTTCTGATTTAATAGCATTCTTGTAGTGACTTAGCCTTACTAGACCCCTAGAGCAGAGAAAGACAGGAGATCTCAATAGTAAAGGTAGTCTCCAAAGTGTGGTGTGTGTGTGTGTGTGTGGTGTGTGTGTGTGGTGTGTGTTGTTTCAATTAGTCTCATGAATTTTCCTGCATGGGCTGGTTTCTTTTTTTTTTTTTTGGTCCGGTAGTGGGGCCTGAACTCTGGGCCTGGGCACTGTCCCTCAGCTCTTCAGCTCAAGGCTAGCGCTCTACCACTTGAGCCACAGCACCACTTCCGGCTTTTCTCTTTCTGCTTATGTGGTGCTGAGGAATCGAACCCAGGGCCTCGAGCATGCAAGGCAAGCGCTCTACCACTGAGCCACCTTCCAGCAGCCCTGCATGGGCTGGTTTCTAACAGCTATCCTGAGACATCAGCCTCCTGATTGGCAATGATTATAGGTATGAGCCGTGGGGCACCAGGTGAATTTATCATCTTTTCATTCCAATTTGTAAAAAGAAATACAAAATCATCTATTTAATTTGTTCAACAAAATTCTGTAACTACTAATCAGCTTTATTTATCAACACTATCAAAACTATGGTATCAAAAGGGAGACAAAGAAAAATACAGTATGTCAAGTACATACAGAAAGAGATTTAAGGATCTTGAAGTTTCTGTCTAAAACCAAAATCTAGTACCTGCAGCAAAATGGAGCTGGATGTTTGAACAGTTCATAAGCCAAATATTAAATTTTTTTAAAAATGAGCACTACCCAAGCTATCATTACAGGTATGTTCACCTGAAGTCTCTGCTAATCAGAGAGGAAAGCGCATCACTTGAGTCCATGCAACATAGTTAAGACCCTAGAGAGAGACAGGGAAGAGGAGAGACAAAGAACTATCACAGAAGTGCAAACTTGACTCAGTTAAACCTATTTTCAGTGGAGAGCAATTGGTCTCAACATTCATTAATAGTTGTCAACTTTTCCTAAATTTACCTTAAAAAAAATTGTAAAAATTAGTTTTAGCAGGGCACCCATCTTTCACACCTGTTAGCCTAGCCACTCACTCAGGAGGCTAAAGTGTAAGAATCAACGTTTGAAGCCAGCTCAGAGAAGGAAAGTCCCGAGTCTTATGCCCAATTAACTGCTAAAGAGCCAGAAGTGGAGAATTGCCTTAAGTGGTAGGATACTGGCCTTGACCAAAAGTAAGCTCAGGGTCAGCACCCAGGCCCAGGGCCCTACCCATTACAGTTTTTGGTAGCAGATCAAGTATAATTGACTAACTCATTTCACAGTCAACTCAATTTACTGGAAACAACTATGTAATTTCCAAAATATCCTTGTAATCAAATCAAATAGTTAATATGCCACTGTTGACTAGTAGTGAAACAGAAACTATCTGGGCCCACTAGTCACTAAAATAATAGGAAATGTTCGTTTAAATAGTATTTAGTATGTGAAATTCTCATCTTAGTCCTCTTTTGCCTTTTTCTCCAATGTAAAACTGAACAGTGAATGAGAACACACTATTAAGTATATGTGTACAGAATTTCAATGTTATTCCAAATGGGCTTTTAAAATACGATGTAGTTAGTACACAAACTGAGCAATTATCTGCTAATTACTATCTAATCTCCAGTAGTGGAGATACAAACACAGGGATAATTCAAATATGATCTTAAAGGAAGAAAGACATTTAGAGGGTAAAGTTGGGATAAAAAGAATACTCAACCTACCAGCCTCCAAAGAGAAGTCATGCAATTGTGAATACATGTCAACCAAGTGTAATTAACATTCCAGCCAAATCACACTGAAAATAAAAAGTCTGGTAAGAGCTGTAGTGGGGAGCCACATAAGCCCACTTCTGAATAGAACATATTCACTGATTATAGGAAGTATATTTACAAGTACTGTTAGTGAAAGATAAGCATGTTTGTGTAATGCACACAATGCTACTTTTAAGAACTGTTACTTTTGACAGCTCCAGAATATTTTGGTAAAACATGCAAGACATTTTAAACATACACATTACATAAAGTCTTCATATCTGGCCTTAAAACCATAATTTCAAAAATAATCTTATTTCAAAATAAATGAAATCATAGTACATTTTTCCTTGCCCATATATAAAAATCAGTATTACACTAACTACATTTAAGTTAGTCAAGCTGTGATAACATGCATTACCACAGACCAAACAACAAGTAATAGCATCAGTTTTGCCCAAAGATCATTCAGGATACCTCAAAAGGTTTTTATATCCCAGGCACAAGATAACTTACTGTATTAATGCATAGAATTTCCTGGGGATCAATGGGCAAACAACACAAAGCTTGTCCATATTATTACTACTGAGACCTTTATAATACAGAAATAAAATTTAAAAGTTTTACCATTCTTCCCGCTGTGCCGTCGCTGCTTCAGTGTGTCGAGGGGAGGAGTTTGAATGGCTAGGGAATTAACAACCGGTACAGCAACCAATCAAAATTCTAGTTTTAGTTTTTGACATTGTTAGGGTTAAAAACTAATTCATTTACACTTCAATTCAACAGTAGTTACTACAAAGGCAGTTGCTTTGTGATTGGAAAAGTTGGGGAAAATATAATAGAAAGTTTGCCCCAAATGGTTATACAATTAAATCATTTTGGTTCCTCTGCCCAATGAACAGAATTTAGAAAGCAAAAACCAAAATGCAAAAGCTTAAATTCCAGAATACTTAACATATACATATTCCTTTCTCAACTTAAGCCACATATAGGTCAAGATTAGTTAATTTCCCATCCCACCTCCACTACCCCAAAGTGAGTACAATTGGCAAAACAGCCTGCCAAGAGTCAGCCGGGGGTGGGACTAGAAAAAAATGTATTCTAACATACACCCCAACTCCCCTTATAAATCCTATGCTCTTACATTCAGAAAAGGAAATGTTACTTTCTAATGTTGGGTTAAAATGGCATTCTATTAAGTATCACGAAAACGTTTATCCTAGTAATAGTGAAAAAAAATCACAAACACATCCCCATTATAAAATGGAATAGAAGCGTTAACTTAAGATCAGCAGTCAGTAATGGGGACAAGAACTTGATTTAGTCCCTCCTGCTAACTCCTGTATTCAGCTTTCAGCTCCCGAAAAGCTGCATTTAATAAAGCAAAAGCAGCTTTAGATTATTACATCCAACAGTTATTCCAGCTAGAGTAGGCAAGTTAGTACTCAAAAACCTGCAAAAAATAGTCATCCCATAACACAGTACAGGAATATATCCATTTTATTAAAAAGAATGGGTCTCCTGTAATAGTGAGAGCGGGAAATGAGAACCCCGGGGTGGGGGGGAGAGGAGGACCAAGCTCCAGCGCACGGCACATAAAAAATGTAAGTTGCCCCCAAACCGCAAGCAAGAATCCAGTGCGTAGGAATAGTACAGAATCTTAGGAGCTGAGGGCGCGAAAAAGGGTGCGCGGTTGGAAAAAGCAGCCGACTAGGAAGGGAGACAGTAGCAAACGGAGGGAAGAACCAGCTCCGGGGCAGGTCCGGGACATTAGGAACTTGGAGCCCGCCGGGTAGGACCAAACGACCCACAGGAGCCTGGGGAAATTTCGGCAGGCTCAGGACGTCCAGGGGGGGGGGGGGGGGGAGAGAGAAAAGTGAGGCCTGAGCGAAGGGTGCTTCAGGGAGATAGGAAAAGGAGGGGGAAACTGATCCAATATGCTCAAACCTCCTCGCCTGAAGGGGAAGAGGCACGGACAATCTACACGTTCCCCCCCCACCCCGAAAAGCAAGTGCTTATAAATATAATCACATCATCTCGGAAGAGGGAGACGCACCCAGTTTAAAAGCTCAGTAATCCCAGCCCAAAGCTTTTTGTGGATCTGTTAAACGTTTTTAAAGCCTGGGACGTTAGAAAACGGGCAAAAGGGGGGGCGGGGGGGAGGGAGGGAGGGACAGCTCCGCTGGCGGGAAAAAATCCTGGCGCCTAAGCCGGTGGGAGGAGACCCAGGGCGGGGAGGAAGGAGGGCGGGCCGGGAACAGCATGGTGACGGCTAAAGGTGGAAACGTGTGTGATGGGGGAGGGGGGCGACACAGGCCCGGGAAAGAGGAAATGCAGGCCCTGGGGGAGCCCGGTTTAAGAAGGCTGTGGAGGGGGGGGAGGACCCCGGCCGGGGAGGGCGGCCTAATGGCGGAGAGAAGGGGGGAAGGTGCGGAAGGGGGGGGAGCCTAGTTGGGCCTGGCGGGGCTTGGGCTGCCCCCCTTACTCACCCTTCATCCTCCTCGTTCTTACTGGCATCGATCTTCGCCCCCTCCGACTCGGCGCTGCCGCCTTCCGTGCCTCCGGTCGCCGTGCCGCCCCCGGTCCCGGCTCCGCTTCCCGCCGCCGCCGCCGCTGCCCCCGGCGCCGCCGCCACCATGGCTCCCTCCTGCTCGCCCGCTGAGCCGCCTACCGCCGCCGTTGCCGCCGCCGCCGCCCCGTCCCCGCCGAACTGCTCCTCCGACATACTGGCTACTGCCTCCGCCGCCGCCGAGACGACACCCGCCGCCGCCGCGAACCGAAACTAGCAGCAAAGTAATCCCCGCCGCCGCCGCCGCCGCCGCCGCCGCGCGCCCGCCCGGCCTCGCGAAGCACACAACGAGAAGGCGCGCGCGTGGCTGCACAGGCTCCGGCGCCGCTCCCTTGGCCTGCCCCCCTCGCCTCCCACTCACGCGGCGCGCACTCCCACTCGCTCCCGCTGCACTGAAAAAAAAAAAAAAGAATAAGAACCAGCGGCGGCCACTCTTAGCCTCCTCCTCGCTTTAATGGCGCCGCCGCGGACCACCTAAAATGGCCGACGGAAGAACGGCGCGTCCCGGTCACGTGATTCCAGAGCGCGCCCTTTGCGCCGCCTCCGCCCCCTTCCGCCGCTACTCCCCCCCTCCCTCCCACCCCCCCTTTTCCCTCCCAGTTCCGCCCAATCGCTCCCTTTTATACCTTCGGCGCGCGCGCCCGCCCCCCGCCGCACAGCGTGGGGGGGGGGGGCTTTAAAAGGAACCGGAAGTGGCGTGCGCCGGGATGGCCTCGCGGGGACCATCGAGAACAAGGAGTGCTGGTTCGATGGTGCGGCTAGAGAGACACCCCCTCCCTCTCTCTACCCTCCCACCCTTTCGAGGATTCCTGGAGTCCACTCCCGGCTGCCCAGGCTCTGTGGGCGGGAGTGGCCGCGTCAGGAAGGGGTGTGGCTTCGCCGGATTTAAGGCGGCTGGCTTCCCGCGCGCGCGCGTCTATGTGTGTGTAGAGCCGGAGTGGGGCCGTGGCGCGCTCGACTGCAGCGTCTGCCGGCGTACGGAATCGACCGTGGGGGCCTGGCTCTGTCTACGGTGGCCCGGGGGGACGCGGCGCGTCGGGCCGCGGCGGCGCACGCGTGCGCGGGGTGCCGGAGCCCGCGAGCCCGGCCGGTGACAGGGAGGTGCCGCCGCGCTTCTGCCTGGATGGAGGTGGCTGGCTGGGGCCGCTAACGAACGACGGGGGCTGCTGTTTTGTTTTTGTTTTTGTTTTTTACTTTTTAAGGTTTGCTTTCCACGTGAGATGCGTGATTGCCTGCTTTCCTCCGGCCATGTTTCCAGCGGTACGTGAAGAAGCCGGGAACCGCTGGGTTGAGGAGCCGAGCTTGCTGGTGCTTTGCTGGCGGCGATCACATCTCAGCGCTGCCTTGAGTTCTCCTCTCGGTGACAGTTACGTCAGCCGAGGGCTTGCTCGGTGTCGTGGGCTTTGTCGTCTCTGTACTCAATAGGACTTATGAATGCCGTGAATCGTCTTTACAAGGTTTGAGTTTGCTGCGTGTGGTGATGTTTGGTGGTTGGTTTAAAACATACACACACACACACACACACACACCCCGTTAGGCGGGTATTGAGAATTAACGGTAACCTTACCCTTTAATAGACCTATTAAGGATTGCAGCTTTGTTAGGGCTCTTGATTATCCAGGTTTGGGGATCTGCAGCTTCCTAAAAATATCCTTAGAAGAAAATAAAGCTGTGGACAACAAAATAGCTAGGCTAAAAGTTTGGACAAATCTGCTCGGCATCGTTACACTCCTGAATCTTTGCTCTTGAGAGGCAGAAAGCTATCAAGTTCCTGAGATCCTTAATCGGCACTGAACAGTATTGAGACCCTGTTTCAGAAAAGCCAATATCCTCAGACTTGCCTGCATTTTAGTAACGTAGGGCTTTCCAAAAAGGTCCGTTTTCATTGGGCAGCAGCCAATGCTCGCGCCTCTACTCTATTAGGGAGACTGAGATCTGACGATCTCAGTTGAAGCCTGCCAGGGCAGGAAAGCCCTTGAGACTTTTCAGTTAACCACAGAAAAAGCCTGAGGTGGAACTGTGGCTCAGGTGGTTAAGTGCCAGTCTTGAGCACAAAAGCTCACCATAGCCAGGCCCTGAATTCAAGCACCAGAACTGGCACAGATGAAAAACACACAGACCTGTGATTTAGTTCACTTGCAGCCCAGTAGCTTCTGGAATTCATGTCAGGAATTCCAGACAATCTAGGAATAATTTTCAAGTTAAAATTTTTTTGCTACTTGTGTTAATGTGTGAATGCCACATCACAGAAAGACTAATGTTGCCAGAATTTCTCCATCCTGTGCACCAGCATTCCTCAACTCACTTCTACCTTGAATCTTTAAATATTCCTCATCTACCTAGAAATCAATCCATTCTTCAGGCCCCCAATCAAGTGTTAGTGTTTCTCTGAAGTTTTCCAAGACCCTTCAGGCAGAATTAACCATTCTGCCTAACAGCACCCTATCCTATATCTGTTATTCTTTTTGTTGGTGTTGGTATTTTGTCGGTCATGGGGCTTGAACTCTGGGCCTGGGTGCTGTCCCTCAGCTCTTCAGCTCAAGGAGAGTGCTCTACCACTTCCGGTTTTCTGGTGGTTTTTGGAGATAAGAGTCTTCTGGACTTTCCTGCCTGGGCTGGCTTTGAACCTTGATCCTTAGATCTCAGCCTCCTGAGCAGCTAGGATTACAGGCATGAGCCACCAGCGCCCAGCTTACATCTGTTATTCGTAATTGTATTCAACTAGACTATGAATTCATAGAGGGTAAAAATATCTTCTATAAAGCCAGGCCGGGCATCAGTGGATCACACCTGAGATCAGAGGATCAAAGCTCAGAAACAGCAAGACTGTACACACACACCCCCCATAAGTGAACCGTGGCTCTGATAAAACTCCAGGCTTGAGCAAAAAGAAGCTAAGTTAAGACAGTGTACAGGCTCTAAGTTCAAGCCGTAGTACCAACACAAAAATGAAAAAAATAACTTGATACCTTCACTAGAATCCCTTTATCAGAACCAGATGGACACATAATGCAAGGAGTAGCTGTTTTAATCTACTGGATACCCTTCAAAAACTAGGCAGGAGATAACCCTGTTCTCAATTTTTTTAATATACAGTTAGCAATCTAGAACAACCTGTCTGGAAGAAACAGCAGGGAGAACCTATTTCTTTTTTCTTTTGTTGGTCCTAAGGCTTGAATTAGGCCAGGATTCTGTCTCTGAGCTCTTTTGCTCAAGGCTAGCACTCTACCATTTTGAGCCACAGTGCTAAGAGTCTTACAGACTTTCCTGCCTGGACTGGCTTTGAACCTTGATCCTCAGATCTCAGCCTCCTGAGTAGCTAGGATTACAGGCGTGAGCACCAGCACTTGGCCGGCTTTTTTTTAATGAACTTTTTTTGTCCGTTTTGGGACTTGAGCTCTAGGACTGGACGCTGTCCCTGAGCTCTTCAGCTCAAGATGGCTGCTCTAACACTTGAGCCACAGCTCCACTTCTGGTTTTCTGATGGTTAATTAGAGATTAGTGTCACGGACTTTGTTGCCAGGGCTGGCTTTGAAGAGTCTCCTGAACTTTTCTGCCCCAGCTCAATTCAAACCTCAATCTTCAGATATTATCCTCCTTAGTAGCTAGGATTAAAGGAATGAGCCATCCACGTCTGGCTAACGAGACCAAATTTAAATAACACCCTTCTTAAAGAATAGCCTCTTGAGAAAGTCAGCTGCTGTCAACTGCTTTTCTTTATCTCTGATGTCCTCCCACAGTGCACTGTCCACAGGCATCTACAGGATTTATAGCTTAATTAGAATATAACCTCAATCTTCTCAACTAGACCTTTTTAACTTTAAAAGCGAAGTGCTAATCACAGCTTACAAAGCCCTGGGTGACCTCATTCCTGTACATCTCTCAGGTATAATTTTTACACCCTGGTTAAGAGTTGTCGGGGGCTGGGAAGGTGGCTCAGTGGTAGAGCGCTTGCCTTGCATGCCGGAGGCCCTGGGTTTGATTCCTCAGCACCACATAAGCAAAAAGAAAAAAGCCGGAAGTGGCACTGTGGCTTAAGTGGTAGAGCACTAGCCTTGAGCTGAAGAGCTGAGGGACAGCGCCCAGGCCCAGAGTTCAGGCCTCAACTGGACCCCCCCCCCCCAAAAAAAAAAAAAAAGTTCTCATAGCTGGGCTTTGGTGGCTCACACCTCTACTCCTAGTACTCAGTAGGCTGAGATCTGAGGATCAAGGTTCAAAGCCAGCCCAGGCAGGAAAGTCCGTGAGACTCTTATGTTCAATAAACCACCAGAAAACCAGAAGTGGCACTGTAGCTCAAGTGGTAGAGTGCTAGCCTTGAGCTGAAGAACTCGGGGACAGTGTTCAGGCCCAGAGTTCAAGCACCATGACCGACAAAAAAAAAGTTCTCAGGCTCTCACACTCTTCAGTACAATTACTCAAAAGTGTCAATTGGGCTGGGTGCAGTAGCTTATAGATATCATCCTTCCTACTCTGGAGGCAGAGATAATTCCAGGCCAAACATCAAAAAGTTAGCAAGATTCCCTCTAAACCAACTGCAGTTGATATTTGATGTTTGAAGCCTCTCAGAATCCCAAAGATCAGGAATAGGGAATTGTGGATCTACTAATCAGAATGAACTCATCACGGCGCCTTTATTCTTGGAAAGGCACTGTACCTCATTCAACCAAAACACTGAAGAACATCCATTGATATTAGAAGAAAAACTTTCCTATCCACAGGTCATAAACAGAGATATGTAGCTGGAAAGGTTTCTGACAGTCATTTTGCAACAGAAAGATCCCTATGAAGACATGGAACTGGCACTGTGGCTCAAGTGGTAGAGCAAGAAGGTCAGGGACAGCACCCAAACCTAAAGTTAGCTCCAGGACTGGCAAAAAAAAAAAAGTTATTGGCGACAAAATTAACAGGACTTAAGAAACAAAGAACTCCCACTCATCTGGTCGAACCACTACTAAATATCCCCATGGTGCTGATCACATGTATGATGTATATGTGTACACCGTTATGTGTTATAGACTGTGATAGACAATTTGCTCCAGGAAAGTTAGAATGAACTTGTGACTTTAAATGAGCATCATTATTCCACAATACTGTGAAATTTGGGAAATTATGTAATCACTTAATCACAATAAAAAAAAAAGAACCTCGGGGAAGGTAGGGAGGGAAGGGATTGTAGGGGGAAAACAATGGAGGGGGTAACAATGCTCAATGGGAAGTGTACTCATTACCTTGCTCATGTGACTGTAACCCTCTGTATAGTATCTTTACAATAAAAAATTTAAAAAAAAAAGTCATTGGGACACAACAGGTAGGATACCAAGTTCTGGTCAAATTCTTTGAGTTGCATAGCAACTTTTTCCTCTAGATTTAGTTTCATGACTCAATAAATTACCTTTTATCATTTGGTCCAGTTTGACCTGCTAGTTTATTTCTTTAAATTAGAAGTAGTCTGGCCGGGAGATTGTGGCTTAGTGGTAGAGTGCTTGCCTACCATGCAGGAAGCCCTGGGTTCCATTCCTCAGTACCATGCAGGAAGTCCTAGATTCCATTCCT